GATGGTACACTTCATCATTTTATCATTTTCACATATAGCATAATGAAAAAACAAAGATATATACAGATGAATCATGCACTGAATAAGCGTGAGCTTGTGCACTTTTTATACCGGAAATTCAGAAAAACAGAATGTACAAAATGTCGCACAAATTTTCATCGACGAGAGCGATATTGGTGGCTATCTTTGAAGCAGTTAAACTTATCTGCGCCACGAAAGTGGGTGATATGCACGGATAGCGAAACTTCTGTTCAGCTAATCAGAAATGCTAGATCACTTTACAAAAATGGTTAAATAGCACAACGTATTGCAGAAACTTTGGAATATCTCTCAGCGCAGGGTCACAATGTTATTCCAATGGGTACCCAGTCACATTGGAATAAAGGGAAATGAAGAGGCTAACAGCCTTGCGAAGAAAACATTCAACGAAAGATGGGATTGCACAATCCCTATGTCTGGGGCGGATATTCGGCAGTTTATTACGCAAGGAGCTAACCATTGTTCGATGGAGAAGTGGTTTGATAGCCGTAATTAAAAAGAAACAGTACTTTATGAAGATAATCCACACAGAAAATTTTTCATACCGACAGATCTCCCATGACACTTACAGACAATAGTCCACAAACTTCTATTCGAATTAGCATACACAAACAGCTTCCTGCACAAGATACATCGACTCAACTCACCGGATTGCCGTTGTGCTCATACAGAAAAAAATGTTCACAGTATTCTTTTGGAGTGCGCTAAATACCCGAATGAAAGAGAAAAATTAAAAAAACGAATTAGCAAGTTTGGACAGACGGCCCCACACTATAAAGAAATTACTTGGACCATGGCCTGAGATGCATCTTCAGAAAAAGCGACCATTTTCCTTACATACTTTTTAGTGGAGACCGGACTAGATAAGGGCCTGTGATAGACAGCCAAGGATTGACACATATGAAATGTGTTAGTGCGTATACTAGAAGTAGAAAAGGAAGGTGGGCGTGTAAACAGTTAATGACAGTGTGAACTGCCGTAAGCAAACTGTGTATTTGCATAATATTTGAACTGGTTTCAGTGTGCTATTATGTTTTTATTGTTAACTTTTGAGTACCGCTAAGGGGTATTCTTTTTTTTCACTACAGAACATTGTGATATGGAGTAGCCAAGGCAATATGGACCTCAACCTCTCTACAGGAAAACAGTTAAAACAGAACAGAACAAAAATCTATAGCGGATCCACAGCCAGCATAGTTATCCATAAAGAAAGTGACGGAATCCCAATGAAGAAGGGTGTAAGGGAGAGAGGCACGGTCTCTCCAATGCTATTTTAAAATATTTCACGCAACCTGCAAACAGTCACACATACACCCGAGTAACACACACGACACTCAGCGCTGAGTTTGTGAGAGTATTTGAAAGAGTGAAGGTTGCGCTAAATGTCTTGAAAATATGATGCCATTGCTATTCACCGCGTGAATACAGGAGGTTTTCAAGACCCTAGATTTGGAAGAGTTGGAAATAAGAGTTAATTGAGAGTGTCTTAGTAATTTGCGATTCGCTGACGACCTTACCTTGATGACAAACTCAGGCGACGAATGGCAGCTAATGATTGAATTGATGGTATGTGGGGTAACGTCCCCAAACCACCACATGATTATGAGAGGCGTCATTGTGGAGCATTCCTGAAATTCCGACTACCTGGGGTTCTTTAACGTGCACCAAAATCTGAGCACACGGGCCCGCAACAATTCCGCCTCCATAGGAAATGCAGCTGCTGCAGCTGGGATTTGATCCCTTGACCTGCGGGTCAGCAGCCGAGTACCTTAGCCACTAGACCACTGCGACAGTGTTGCAACTCAAGATTACAGAACTCAACACAGAAAGCCGAAGAGTAGGCCTGAAAATTGATATGCTTGAAACGAATGCGCTACAGTCTCAGTAGAAAACAAAGCTTTGCAATAGGTGGAGAGACGTTGGAAGTTTTAAAATAATATGTCTACTCATGGCAGGTAGTAACCGCGGAGCCGAATCATGAGAGTGAGATAACTAGAAGAACGAATAAGGATGGGGTCTATCACATTCGGCAAGTATTCTCAAATCATGAATGGTACTCTACCGCAAACCCCGAAGAGGGAAGTATATAACAGCTGCTTCTTGGTGGTACTTATTTACATAGCAGAAACCTGTAGGCTCACAAAGAGGGTTCAGCTTAAATTGAGGACGACGCATCGAGTGATGGATAAAAAAATTACAGGTTTAACCTTACTCAGACAAAAATAGAGCATAGTGTGTCAGGGAACAAATCAGGGCTAAGGATATCAAAGTTGAAATCAAGAAGAGGATATGAATAGGGGCCGGGCACGTAGCCTGTAGACAGGATTACCGCTGCTCATTAAGGGTAGCTGACTGAATTCTCAGACAAGGCATATGCACGAAGGGGAGACAAAGTTAGATTGGCCCACGAGATTAAGAAGTTTGCGGGTATAACGTGGGAGCAGATAGCACATGATCCAATTGATTGACGGATCATGGGAAAGCCCTTGCCCTGCAGTGGTTGTAGTCAGGCGACTGCTGATGATAATAGGTAAGGCGTCGTTGAAGAGGTTTGAAACACCATCATGGGTTTCCTTCGACCAATAATTTGACATAAATGCTTTCTTTCTTAATTTTCCCCTTCTTTCTGGCCACAATTCTATTGTGCATGCTTTGGTATTTTAGACATCAATGTGGTTTGTCTAACTATTGCTAGTGTCTGGAAATGGAGAACTGGCTTTCGTACTTTTAGGGAGTGCACATTTTTATGATCACGAGGAGCAAAAACAAGCCACCACTCGCTTGCCGCGTGCTTGCGATTGCTGCAGTGTGCTTCACACGCACAGTGGTAGTGCAGTGAAGAATGCCTGACTCGAGAAAGCGGGGAAGAGCTAACTATGTTAATACTTGAATGAATCTTTTGTGATTTGCGCTTCTTTGTTTAGTCAAAGATTATACAGAATTTGTAGATTTTCACATCACACAGCATTGGTTATACCGAGCTCCACTCTAAAGAAAGTCTCAGCTTTGCCGCAAAATAGGCATCTGACAGTGGACCAGAGGGCGCGATGAAGCTCTTTGGGTCGCCTTAGCATTGTTGGTACCGACCGCCAGGGATACTAAAAAAAATGGAACGCTCGCTGAGCACAGTGACACGCTGAAGTATCAGTGCCCTTTTTGGCATGTTCTCAAAGGAACGCTTCCTGTGCGCTTACATAATTAACCGTGACCCCCATGCTCACAACTAAAAAATAAAATGATATGCACATGCAAGTTCGGTTTTGCAGCGTCTACTACCTAGGCTACGCATTGGAAGACTCCGTTTTGCTGCGCCTACCCGCTAGGTGTGTGTTCTGGCTCTACCATCAGATATTGTAAACAGCATTGCCGGATGCCTATGAACGCGTTAGCGAGAAATTGAAAGGTCACGCGCAGAAGGGAAAGCAGAATGGAACTTGCCTCGCGTTTCTCACGAACAAATGACGCACAAAACGTGCTCACAGATACGGATCCACGCGAATAAGCGTCTCATTTGTTACATCGCTGTGTCTGAAAAGTGCGCGCTTTTCGCAAACGGAGACTGCAATGATTGCAGTGATTTTTGTGCGACCAGTAACTACAGCTGAATCGTTCCAGGTAAAGGCCGTGGCCAGCCAAGGCGTACGATCGTCCCCTCCTTGCGACCGCAGGATAAGGGCACGCGAGGAAGCGTCACTCCCTCTCTCTAAGCCGTGCAAAGTACGCGTAGGAGATGAGAGCGGGCTCCTCCGCGTGATGTCGCGACGCGCGCTCTTTGCGCCATCTTTCTGGTAGTGCTGAAAACACAATTTCCTCCCGAGATAGTCGTGAGCAGCGATAAGTGGCAGATATAAGTAGCTTGCCGTTTGAACGGTGAAGGAAGTGCTCCGGGGTGGCTCAGTGGTTAACGCCCCGCTTTGACGACTAAGAGATCCCACGTTGATTCCGCGCGCCGGAGTGTCGGTGAGTGATGGCGAAGCCGACGTCGGCAAAATCGAGCCGAGAGTGTCCATTTAATTGCTAAGGCAACAAAACAAGTACTGTTAGTTTGAGGTAAGACAACAAGTATCACTGGCTGATGTTCTTCCTGTTGCAACGAGATGCAGTTGTTCATCGCTATAGGTGAGTTTAAGAACGGTTATGGGAGAGTTATTAATGAATTAATTAAATTTGTCTTCGTACTTTTTTAACTGCTTGCAGCGCTGAAGTGACGAGGATGAAAGTAAAAGATGGTGGTAACGACACGAGTGCTGGCTGACAATTATACAGTTTGTTGAAAGAAACGACACGAATAAATACAATAAGAAGGGTGACCAAGCCTCAACAGAGCGACTGCGAATCTCCAGCAGAGTCATCCAAGTAATGTTAACGTGCCAAAACAAGTGAAGAGTAAACACCCGCACAGAAACAAACAAACAAACATTCAAATGAATAACACTAACAAATATATGGCTGCGAAGTCTATTCACTTCTATTTATAGGTAACGACAGACAAGTTGTTCTGTTATGTGCCACCGTGGCTTTTGCGAAGTGACTACTTCACTCTCTAATATATTTTCAAATATTGACAACATCCTGAGTTTCGCGCTCCAGAACTGCTATAGCCACGTCGTAGTGGAAGGCTCCTAAAAATCCTACCACCTTCTGTTCAACGTACACTGACACGGCACATTTCGATCTAAGCGAAATGCCAGCAGCCCGTCTACTGTGCAATATACTTGCACAAATGATGCATGGATGCGGACATTCATTGCTGAGCTAAGCGGGAAGAACACAAAGCGCCGCGACGCATATTAAGTTAAAGAGAAGAAAGAACTGGGCCCACCCAAAAACATTGAACGTGGACGACAACCGCAAAGGCGACCCCACAGTGTTGTGTTGTCACATTGACCCACATAAGTGTTCTTGACTTTCGCATTTTTCAGATGCTTCAGCAAGCCCGAAGATGCACTATACTGTATTACCTTCAGTTCCACTTCACCGCGAAGCTCCAGCTGGAACGTCTTGAACTTGTCGAGCACCGTCTTTGTCGCCGAGCTTACGTGGATCTTCAGTGCTGATGTGTGAGAGAATGAAAAAAGAGAGCAACTAATTAGCAGTCGTCACAACAAATGCGTCACTACTTGATATCAGCCATGAAAAACGCTGCTGTAATGAAATCTGTGGCACACTGCACCTACGTTCTTGTCTTGCTGGAATGACGGACAGCCTACTTGATGCACTTGTGGTTGGGATGATGCAATGATATATCACCTGTATACCTCGTTTATAGCACAGACCTAAATACATAGAAAGTGGACATGCATACACTAAGCACATTTTCAGTGAACATTAGATACTAATGCGTACTTAATTACTCTACTCAGGGCAGCACGACACTTTTTACTACTGAAGGGTACATTTGCATGCATCCGCTCACTTTCAGGTATTATGTTTTCTCTGTACTCTCTCTCTCTCTCTCTCTCTCTCTCTCTCTCTCTCTATATATATATATATATATATATATATATATATATATATATATATATATATATATATATATATATATATATATGACGATATGATGAATGGGAGACGTGGCCTGGCTCACACGCCATGTTTGTTTCATTCTCACTTCTTTCTCATCTACTTCTAACTCCTAACCATCGCTACCTTCTTACGTTACAAGATCCCCCCCCCACCCCGAAAAAATGCGCGCGTTGCATATTACAATGCATGATGAACAAGCAGTCTTAGAACACACACAAAAAATGTCCAAATGAGCTGTAGTTCCGCATCAGATTGAAGTTCCGTAAAGTCGCACAAAGATTTCACAGGAGAGGGCAGCGAATTGGGGTTAGTACTGCTCTGGTGGGCGAGGCTGACTGTTACGTTCTGGAAAACACAAGTACACCTTGAGCGTAGAAACTGGTGAAATAGCTGCCATTATTGCGAGGAGTGGAGGCCGTTTGAAGGCCTTGCAGCAGATTGGTCTTCGGCGTCGCTGTCCTTTCTGCGTGCGTGCTCGTTGTCGTAAACTAATGGGATGGTGTCTGAATCCTTGCGTAGCAGAACTGGTGACTTCTTATCTTATTCGGTGTTTCCTGAGGTTTCGGAGCTGTAATCTTAGGCGCAGTCTCGATCTTTTGTGCCAAATGCGTTTCTGGCACCGATACCTTATGCGAAGATGCCTCGCTTCTTGAATTTGTTTTAAGAGGCTTGCCTTGCGTCGTCGTCCCTGTTGGTGCGTCCATTGTAGTTCCTGGAGTTCGTGGAGTTGCCTTTGTTGAAATTGCTCGTTTTGTTGCGAAAGTTGGTCACATGGGCATCTTTCAGGAACATGAGTCTGCTTTCCTTTGCATGGTGATGCGATCAGAAGATAGCTGGTAGTCGATACTGTACTGCTGGGCTTGTCTTGCGATGAAAGCATCGTGACAGACTGATCGTGAAAGCTCCCAAGATGGCTGTGAGTCATCATTGATTGTAAATGCTTCTGGCAGTTCACAATGCGCCGGCGTTGGTGGATTTGAAATTCCTGCATCGCTTTGACTCACATGTGTGTTATCACTTGACGATGAGAGCACAACAGACATGGCTTCGGGTGGTTCTGATGGCGTATGTTTTTCTTTTTGCAGCGTGATTAAGCTGAGAATGTCTGTCGAACGAACGTGGTGCGGAACGTCAGGGTATGAGCCGGTATTGTGAGGATTCACCAGCTCATCACACGTAAATTTCATCGCACGTTCAAAACCGTCTGGGCCTTGTGTGTGACACAAAGCATCAAGAGATTCGGGTGGTTCAGTAAAATGTGAAGTGTTGTGGTGCAGTGAACACGTTGAAAATGCCGATTTCATTGCTCTTGGGAAAGCCGGTTTTATGCTTTGTCTTTTGGCGAAATAGTCTAGATTTCTTTCGGTATATGGAGGCTTTACCTTGCCTGTTTCAACGTGCAAGTTACCCGTCGGTGTTCGAATGCGTGACATTTTTTCGGAAGAGTCATATGATGGTACAATGGTGGTATATTTTCTCTCAGGTCTCGTTTGGAAAATGTGATTAATAGGATTACTGTGGGATTACTGTGATTACTGTGTCATGTAACTGTGATGGGCGTGTTGAAACGCCTTCCGCTGATGAAGTATGGACAGGTCTTCATCGTATTCTTTGAAACGGGTGATCATTTCTTCTTTGATCTTTATTCAAGACTCATCGTTCTCGAAGATGTGCGTGAGGTAACATTTGAATGCCTCACCTGAGATGTAGTCAGTCAAGTTGGTGATCATCTGCCGTTCCGACCATGTTGCAGCGGTGGCGTAGAGCTCGAAGAGGTTCAACCAGTTTTCTACGGGTCCGCCGTCCGCCGATCTAGTGTACTTGGGGATGTCAAGGTCAGCAGACGGTTCTGACATGATGCTGGTCGATGCGTAATACTAAGCGCTTGTACAGTAGTCCATGTGTGGTCAGGGTGTCTTGCGGAGAACTGCGTCGATACTGAGCGACTGATGAAGGGGCAGGCAGTTCTCCATCCCTCCAACTCGTGTGACGCTATGATGAATGGGAGACGTGGCCTGGCTCATACGCCATGTTTGTTTCATTCTCACTTCTTCCTCATCCACTTCTAAATCCTAAGCATCGCTACCTTCTTACGTTATATATATATATATATATATATATATATATATATATATATATATATATATATATATATATATATATATATACATAACGTAAGAAGGCAGGGATGGTTAGGAGAAATAGAGGAGGAAGAAGTCAGAATGGAATAAACATGGCGTATGAGCCAGGCCACGTCTCCCATTCATCATAGCGTCACACGAGTCGACAGGATGAAGACCTGGCCGCCACTCATCCACCTCACATCATTCACGAAGCCACCGGCAATACGCCTCAACTGAATATTGACCACAGAAGAGGGGACCTCAGGCGCATGCAGTTACCGGCATCATGGCAGAACCATCGACTGACCTTCCCATCACCAAGTACACCGGAGCAGCGGACGATGGACCTGTACAGGACTGGTTTGACCTGTTCGAGCTCCAAGCTACCGCTGCCTCAAGGTCGGAACAGGAGATAATCATCAACTTTACCGACTACGTTTCCGGTGAGGCTTTCAAATTCTAACTCACCCAAATATTTCAAAACGACGAGTCATGGGAAAAGATCAAAAAAGAAATGATCGTTTGGTTTAAACAATACAATGACGACTACGACGAAGACTCGCTTATAACCCACCCTCCACAGACAACCGCACTCAGTCGTCACAGTCAAAATCAGTCCTCAAGCATTCGGACGCCCAGAATGAATCGACCGCTGCTACAACACAAAATTGAACATCAGTTCACAGACAGGTGGCCGTGTTGTACTTCGGGAACAACTCAACCATCGAGCGCAGCTCCGTTGTGCACGAAAGTCGCCATTTCCAAAGTCGTGGCACCAACATACGACACGAGACGTCGCTCACCCTACTGATGCCTTTCATGCTTCGTCTCGCATACATGGTCCACCACCTGGTTTTCTACGACGCAGCTCTTCAAAGGCTCCTAACGGTCACTATTCGTGTCATAAGGACGCCTTGTTCATGGTAGACCAGCTGACACAAGGGGAAAATGCCGAACAACCCCATGACGACTCGAAGAGTGAAAATCAGTCTTCACACATTGGATCAGCTTACTTTCTATCTAGCACTATTGGGCTACCTCCTGGTTTTCCGTCATTTGGCTCTTTCGTCGCTCACAACGCCCACCTCACATCTAGCACGCTCACAACGGTCGGAATAGAGCTGCGGAGCTCAGAGAATACTCATACAAGCCCTGAACCTACCATCCAGATTCAGGCGCAAGAACCACTCGCAGCGAACAGCGAAGAAGAAGCCCCTGATGATGTATCTATCAACTTTAAAGCATTACCTTCATTTCCCGAAATGCTGCACAACAGCCTAGAGACTACTACTTGCCCACTCGACACCACATTCAGTTGCCCAGAAAGTCAGTGTCATGGTCAAAAAGGGCTGCCACCTATAGCATTTCTTCTGGTGACTGCCACCTTGCAAAATTGTGGGCTTAAATCCCACCGCGAGATGGGGGCTTTTTCGTCAACTTTAATTGCTTTCATTTTGAGTCATAATGACCACACTACAGTTAAACACAAGAAATAATGCTCCCCTACGTTATGCCTGGCCCAATTGTTTGTTGGGTTCATCAGTTATACCCTGTTGGTGACGCAATGATGACCTTGTATGCCCTAGTTCAGCAGAGCACGGGTACGAGCTTTCAATCATAAACAAAAAGGCAAGGGCGCATGATTACCGTTCGCCTCTAATAATAAAGACACGTCCACCTAAAATAGGAACTTGTTTGAAAATTGATTTTCAGTGCATTGATCTTGACTCAGTGCTCAGTTACCGGACGCATTATTTAAAAATAGATACATAAAAAAAGAGACGGTGGCCCACGAGAGGTGCTGCTCACTTATCTCATTTTACGCGATATTTTTCCTGGTGATAGTCTCAGCTCCCCCCCCCCCCTTAAGAAAGGAGCAGATGCTGCACGTAGACAGTTCGGCTACTACAAACAATATGAGTGTCTCGGCAGCAGAAACGTTCATAGTGCGCGTTCAACGATTGATAGAGCAACCGGAGGCGTCTAGAAAAGCATTCACGCTGATGATGGTATTACTCCTTTAGAACAGCCGACATACATGTATGTGTATTTCATTGTCATGTTTGTGTGACACTTGCTGGTGAGACGTCATTCAAAAAGCAGAATGGCACCTTAACCCTTTTGCTCCAGTTGACGAGTATAGTTGTCATGAGATTTCGTATTTAAATGACCGATGACCACGGTACTCGTCACCAACGAAAAGTGGTCTCCAGATGGAACGAATGGCGACAACACTCATCATAGTTGTGTTTCTTGACGCTAGATGGTTACACTTGTCCGTGTTGTGCCATTTGTTCCTCTGTTCTAATTCATTGAAATCTTTTGTTACAATGCTATGCGATGAAGCTGCTGTCCACATATCTTTTTGAGCGAATTATTGAAATAAAAGTATCCCATCAATTTG